CAGCCCCCATCCCGGGAGGCGCTGGAACCGCACCCTCTGCTGTTGGAGCGGAGCGAGGCCCAGAACCCAAACCCCGTTCCCGGGCGGGTGGGGCCAAAGGCCCTTTCTGAGTTCTAGGTGCAGTCTAGAGAGACAGATAAAGAAGCGTCCTTGTTTTGTGTGTGTTGTGTGTGTGTTTTGTTTTGTTTTGTTTTGTTCCGTGCCTCTCACGCCCCATGTAGATTACCGCCTTTTTGGACGTGCCCTTATGTTTATCCCATGCATTTCTGGTGACATTACCCCTCAGGTTTCAGTTGTTGAGATCACTCATCAGGATCAGTTATTTCCATTTTGAAGTTACAGAAACGGAGGTAAGGCTCTCCTTTCCCCACAGTGGGCTCTGATTCACAATGAAGAGACTAAATACCCTCTGCAGCAGCGAAGAGCGCCATTCCCTCCGACCGCACTCAGGGCTCATCAGTGACTGCCTTCCTCCCCACCTCCTCAGCCCCAGGTGTCCAGGTGTCCGAGCGGGCTGGCTGGGCACGGCAACTGCAGGGTTTCCTGGGGACGGCAGCCCTAACCCTCCCACTGACCTCCACGCCCCATAGGCTTCCTCTGATGACACAGCAGTTTGCTTTATGCAGATGTGCTCAGAGGATGTCATTGAATCAGCATATTATCTGGGAACCTGTTTAAAATGCAAATGTATGGGCTCCACCCTGGACAGCTGCAAGGGCAGCTCTGGGGAAGGCCTCCGGTGGTCCCAGGGCACACACTCCAAGCTGCAGCTGCACTGTATTCCCCGGACCTGCAGGGCTAGTTAGCCGCCCAAGTTCAGCAAAGTCCTTATGGAAACAACAGCAAAACCCCTTACAAATTAACTGATGCGAGTAAAGGAGATTTCAAGCTCCAGACACAACATTGCTGGGATGGGCAGAAATTCTGATAATTCCACCAGTCTGAAAACAGAAACAGATGTTACCATATATACAGGTGTTTTTTCTGGTCAGTCTTTCCTACAATTTCAACAATGCTCAAAAGCCTAGGGTATATTTTTTAAATAAACTCTCTTATTTCTAAGGTACACCCCCCCCCCACGCCCCATAACAAAGTAACCCATGCATGCCTATGGTAGAAACTTGGAAAATACACAAAAATTGGGAGACAAGAATAGAAAAATCATCTATAATTCCACCATTATGGATAATGTGTCACACTGTGGTGTATTTCTCCTTCTATGAAAATGGTTTTCACATGGTTGAGATCCTAAGAGAGACTTTTCGCTTGTTTGTTTAAATAATAATGCCATTATGATTATATACACAATTCAACAATGATTGTATAATAACTAAGGACAGAACGAGGGAAAATGAAATTATTAGACATATGCATCTTTATAAATGTGCAAAAACATCCTCCAGAAAAATTCTATGTATTTGAAAACATTAATTAAATATAATATATGGACTTTTAAACAGGTAGAGGCATACAGTATACATTTTTCAGTTTGCTTTTTTGCATCTAGCAATATGCTTTATTACTAATTTTTTTTTGTTCATCCTTACCCAAGGATACGTTTCCCATTGATTTTTAGAGAGAGTGGAAGGGAGGGAGGGAAGACGAGAAGAGAAAAAGAGAGAGAGAGAGAGAGAGGAGAGAGAGAGAGAAACATCAATGTGAGAAAGACACATCTATTGGTTGTCTCCTGCACGTGCCCGGACCAGGATTGAACCTGCAACCCAGGTCATGCCCCTGATGGGGAAGTGAACCTTCTGTGCTAGGGCCGACGCTCTAACCACTGAGAGCACTGGCCAGGGCTGAAATAGGCGTTTAAAACTCCACACTGAAGCAAGCCCAAGTTCACTGACCTCTTCACTGGAAATAGCTACAACTCATGACTTAGTGCCAGTGGTTCTGACTCAGAAATGGGCCATTATTGGTCAAACGTACGGTGACATGTCATTTGCCCTCGTAAGGGCACACGACTTGGTGACTAATCCAGTCCCGGGTGGTGGGGAACTTCCTCACAGAGACGATGCCACAGCGTCTGGATGACTCCAAACGGCGTCTGCGTTTCACAATGCTGTTCCCTCCCCTGGAGAAATCTGTCAGGGACACTATGTCCTTTGCCGGGGGTGGTTTGGGTCTCACCTTTCCTCAAAGAGGGAGCCCCCTCTTGTAAACTGACCACTCCCTCCCTAAGGCTCTTCGCCAGTCCGACTGCGGGAAGGGGAAGAACAGCATTTCCCTCCTGAAAAACAAGAGGCTTAAGCCCACGTGAGGGAGGGAAGAGGCAAAGACGGGAGAAGTCACTTTCTGATGAAGCTGATGAGGGAACCGGAGGTCTTTAATAACGTCCTTCAATTGTTAAAACGTGACTTCACCCATCGTTTAAAATCATCTTAAAGTATTGCCTTTCCACGATTACATAGATGATGTAGCCGAGGGCGGAGTCTCGTAGTCTGAGAGCTAGAAAATGCGTTTGTCCTGCTGGTGTTTGGTGGCTCAGCGGGGAGATTTCTCTGGCTGCCAGTGAAATTAATTTTGTTAATTAATTTCTGTTTGTTAACAGAAAATTCTGTTTCTTTGTGATGAGGAGGGGCCACAACATTAGTAACAAGGAAACAGGATTTCCGGAGGATGAGGCCCAGAAATCAGGATTTTAAACAGATTCCCAGGTGATTCGAATGTGCAGCCAAGGTCGAGAACCACTGGTCTAGAACATGAACTCACAGGCCTGTCTCCGTCGCACCACACAGACCTCGCATCTTCACGATGTGGCACAAGGGCTTCCTTTCTTGTGAGCGAGCAGAGGCGATGCACTCGGCCGCTGCCAGCTGCCAGCAATGCCTAGGAAGTGCTTGGGGCGGCTTCACAAATGCAGTTCTACCCATCACAGCGACAATTATTTCCAGACCACATTTAAAAATACATGTTTTCATTGATTTCAGAGAGGAAGGGAGAGGGAGAGGGAGAAACATCAATGATGAGAGAGGATCATCCATCAGCTGCCTCCTGCACGCTCCACACTGGGGATGGAGCCTACAACCCGGGCCTGTGCCCTGACTGGGAATTGAACTGTGACCTCCTGGCTCATAGGTTGACCCTCAACCACTGAGCCACCCCTGCTGTCCATTTCATAAATGAAGGAGGAGTCCCATTCCCCCTCCTGTCCGTTTCACGTTTCTGCCAACTTCCTTTTTTGCTTCAAAGTTCCTTAGTCTTTCTCTCACCAGCATCCCTCTTTCCTCCCATCACTCTGCAAAGATCAGTGGCAATCCAGTTCTAAACGTCAGTGGCTGTTGACAGCTGCCCCCTGGAATCTGTTTTCACACATTCTTCAACTGAACTTGTCCCAAACTCTCTCTGTCTCTGTGTCCCTGAACCCTGCAGTCTTCCCCATTTCCTACCAGTTACTGGCACCGTGTGCACCGTGAAATCTCGCGTGTGAAGAGTTGACAGCAGACCTGGGACGGCTCTCCTCCGAGATTCTTGCCTACGAGGTCGGCTGTCGGCTGGCACCTGGGGGCTCGGGTGTCAAACAGTTCCCTGCACTGACATCAGACTTGCCCTGAATGGCAAGGGCTCACTGAGCCCAAGTCGTTTACAAACCATGTGGTCTGTGCGATGCCTGGACGTCTGGGATCTTGGCAAAGGCCAGGCAGAGGGTGCCTGTGGCCAGTTCTTAATTAAAAGCCTGGGTGCGTCTCCACTGAGCTTCCCCCGGGGACAGCACTTCATGGTGTTGTCACAACTCGTTGGGAGAGCAAGGAAGCTCGCCCAGTGACGGCTGGAGAGACTCTTGGAGGCCTGCACTGCTTTCCTGCCTTCACGCCACTTCCCTTCCCCTTTGCTGATCTTGCTACACACCCTTTTGCTGTCATCTTCGCCCGAGTATGACCACAGGATGAGCTCTGGGGTCCTCCTAGCCAATCAGCAAAACTGGGCGGGGGGGCAGGGGGGGGCGTTTTAGGGTCTCCTGACATACTTGGTATAATTCACCTTTCCCTCACTCTCCATGTTCAATTAATCACCAACTACCCTTAGCTCTGCCTCTATCTGTTTTGAAAAATGTCTGAATTCTCCGCC